AGCGAGAATTAATAACGTGCACCTACATCAGAGTCATCAGGCTAAGTAGAGAGAAAACAAGTGCATTTACATGATTAAGTGGAAATGTTCTGATTAATGGTTTCTCCTGTTGACCCCTCTGGAAAACGCAGTAAGCGGTGATTAAGTTTTTTATAAATATTCATTATCAATTTTATGTACTGTTCGTAATATACGACGGAACTGGTCCGTTTTCTCTTTCGTCGAAATCGTGCAAGTGCAGGACAATAAATCAGAAGTGTAAAGTCGCCTCAATTTACGCTCATTATTTCAGTCTTTACGTGCAATTTGCCGTGGGCTAATTGTATTAATTAATACCCATTAAGTTTGGATGCGTTAAAGTTGTTGTCATTTTGTCTTTTCTGAATTTTAACCTCGTACTTTTTGCATTCAGACAAATATTACAACTTATGCGGAACCCTAAGTCATACCTACGTAAATTATTTTGATTTTTAATAAACATAGTTGGTGCACGGCTCCTTCTGTTTTTATATTATAGCTTTCGTGAGACATACCAAATTATTTATTAAGTTTTCGGCTTACTCACTTTACTGTAATGTATTCTTATAATGAACTAGCTTCAGCCCACGACTACGTGCGCGTAATCCCGTTCTTTCCACTTCACGATCGTGATTTTAGGCGAAAAGTAAAAAAAAAATCGATGAAAAGTATCCTGTGTCCGTCTTCTGGTTCTAAGCTATCTCCCCACCAATTTTCATCCAAATCGATGTAGCCGTTCTTGAGTTACCTATAAGTAGTGTAACTAACACAACTTTCTTTTATATATATACCTCTATACTAGCTTCTGCCCGCGACTTCGTACGCGCAATCCCATTTCCCCCCGTTCCCGTTCGTGATTTTCGGTAAAAAGTAAAAAAAAAGTATTGTATAAAAAGTATCCTATGTCCGTCTCCTGGTTCTAACCTCCCTGCCAATTTTCATCTAAATCGATTGAGGCGTTCTTGAGTTATAAATAGTGTAACTAACACGACTTTCCTTTTATATATATAGATATAAGATATAAGATAAAGGTTTTCAAAGAATTAATAAAGATTTTCACTGTTTGCCGAGGAACCCTAGTATGGCTTGTTGGTTTGAATATGTGATCTAGACTAGCTTGAAACGAATCGAGTTCCTCGTAATTCAGTTTCTTTTGGTAACGTGGGCCATAAAATTATAATAATCGATTTCATTTTATTTATAACATGTTCTTAACTATGTCATGAATAAAAATGATTATGAATTTTACAAAATTCTAGTTACCAGGGATTTATAACCCGTGATTTATATACAGGTTGTTTCGAATTGAAAGTAAGTACCTTCCTATTAAACAATAAACAATAGGTCGCGGTCACCAGTGACCGCGACCTATTGTTCTTTAATTGTGTCTATAAAACCGGTACTCGACGAGTTAAAATTGTAAGAAAGTTTGCGTAACGAGTTTTATTAATGAATATTTAAAACTTGAACTTATATACAACAAGAGCTAAAGCATCTCAGATCTAGGTTTATTTTAATATCTAGGTGGGTCTCTTCCATGAGGCACTACATTATTAAACTAGATACTACTGAAAATACTGAACGTACTAAGTATACGAACTGAATGTTGAACTTTTAAAAATGGCAATCAAAGGAATGGTTTTTATCGTTAGTGTTTATGGATGGAAACTTTTTTATCTATTTACCATGTAAATATAACATAACATCACGCCTTTTAGCCCCAAAGGGGTAGGCAGAGGTGTACATTATGCCACTGTCACTGTACAATGTAACCACTCAATTTTCACTATTTATGTTATGAGTCCCATGTAATAGGGGGTGAGCCTATTGCCATATACCGGGCACAATTCCTGGGTCCGTGCAACTAATGAGAATTTTTTAAAAACCCAGTATTACTTTGCCCGACTCGGGAATCGAACCCGAGACCCCATGCCCGGCAGTCGCACTTGCGACCACTCGGCCAACGAGACAGGCATGTAAATATATAAAAATCTTAAACCCTAATTTAAGGTTAACGTAAATAAATTAAGATGTAAAAGTTTAAAGGAAAAATAAAACTTTAGTTTAATTAAACCTTAGTATGTTAAGGAATTTTAGAAGTAAGTATTTTGTATGTCTGTACAGACACAAAGTGTGGCGAACTACCATAATAATACTTACTAGCAATTGCAACATACCTACCTACATTGATAAAATAAATAATATTTATATTTGGTATCCGCGCTGCGTTCTCTAGATCTTATTGTTAGGTAAAAAACTGTAACAACAAGTAAAAGCTCTAAACACCTTTACGACAATAATAATTATGCTGTTGGAGATCTCGATATGATCAAAGCGTAGACTCATCTTAACACAATATTTTTTGTAAACAAGTTGTCAATATTAAGGTACAGATATGCTTTGATTTTTGTACCATGTTAGTTCAAATAGTTTGAGCACGTGTATGCTCCTTAGCGCGAAGAACCAAGCTTGAACGTAATTAGCGATTTTGCACAGCGCTGTCGGCGCAGGCGGCGGCGATGGGCCCGGTGACCCCGCGCCCGGGTCATACGGGCCGCGGGCCCAACCGGCCATGTTGCACCACTTGCAGCTTTACTGGAGTGAAACCTTACGTAAGCTCTACGTGTCAACTTTATAGGTACACATGCAATATCTGGACAGGAAAGTTTACATTATTGTAGTTTAAAGTATTGTATCCAAATTGAAGAAAATTCCTATTTCTATTTTCCAATCCGGAACTAGCAAAATCTAGGTCAGGTACTCTACGGACATAACTATTTTCAAAGCGTCTACATTTAATACTCGTGACAGCCCTAGGTTTGCTAAACGTGGGAGAGGCCACTACCAATCGACCTAGTGCATAAATATAAAACAACTTCATTGCACACACATAACACCGATATTTATAGCCAGGACTGTGGTCAGGTCATCAGAGAGCAGAGAAGCTTCGACTTCAAACGTATTTTACTACTTCCATGGCAAATTTGAATATTGCGAGGACATGGATTATTCAACGACTTGTTGTAGGTATCAGGTAGTACCTACGTGTAGTTTCAGGTGGCTGTCTAGCACCGTGGGACAAAGGCATTGTTGTGGGCATCTGGGCCGCGGCCGCAGCTCACGCCTCTGTTTCGAGGCGGGGCGGTAAGCATACCCATTGGTTACCGTCGCCAGAGCGTGACAAGTTTCATTGGACAATCCAACGAACAGTGAAAGTGACGAAACGCTCCTTGTGCGAAGCACCTTGGGCAAAATTAACTACTTTAATTACTTAGTCATAATTAAACCTTAATCCAACTTAATTGTTATAGAACATACATAAACGTCTTGTGTTAAGTAAGTGGCTACCTATTATGGTTAAAATAATGTCGTTTAATGGATGGAATTTTATTTTCAAATGAGGTGCTTGTCCATATTTTAATTTAATTAACACTAAGTAAATAAATAAATAGAACATGCTTTTTGTTTTTATTTTTTCTCATTTTACTTACTTAAAGAGACTTACACAAAATCCACCTCATCTGTAGGGTGTAGAGTTCTCAAGACCTAAAGAACTACTTACTTGCTTAATTAGTCATCATCACTGTATTTACGTCTCTTCCAACTTCACGGTACTACATCGCGTTCCGATCACTGGCATGTATTAAGAAAAAAATTTTCATTTTAATCCTAGAACTTCAAACATAGTAAGAAGGTACTTGAATAGACCCCGAACTTGAATTACTTAGATCAATAAATTATAGGTACTTTTTTATAGCTTTACAGTTTCACAAACCAAATAGCAATATAGCAAGTACCTACTAGCTAGGTACTTATTTAACTTAGTCAAATCAAACTTTTAGTTCTGGTCTTATTAACATAAGCCTTAAGCCTTAATTATGATAAGCAACAAGATAATTACAGTTTGCATACACCTTACAAATGTCAACGAACGACGGCACATACTTTTGAAGTATGTACGAAACCTATTTCCTTAAGCTATTATTATGAACAAATAAGATCAAATATGTACAACAAAAAGCATTAAGATGCAAATTGATACAAGCATAACGAGAAAATTAGCATTATGAGCGACAATATTGAAGGGTGACTCAGCGCGTCAGCCCATCAGCTCCGGTTGTGCTCACCGGCCTATTGTGATGCAATGTAATAGCAAGGTGAGTAGACATGTCGACTGGCAAGCCCGCCCAAGCCCTCGATCAATAGCCGTGAAATTCGATTATAAAAATCGAGGCCATGAAGCTTATTAAATTGAGGTGACAGTAAGAAAATCTAACTACCCACGCAAGCTACAAGTACGTAGGTACTCCTTTTAAACACTTCGACGAATACGCACTTACTTAATACTCGAATGAACAAGTCATGGATGAGTATTAAAGTGGACGCTAAATAGAAACAAAATAATCACCTACTCAATATCCTAGGCTAAGTCTATATTTATTACCAATCTAACTTATATCTCTTAGGAAATGTAACGCTAACCTTAGGGTGAAATGTAATTAGCTGGTATTAGCTTAAAATTTTGTTCACATATTAGAAATAATACATGTGATTTTCCAATTTATTTATTTAAAAAATATTAAATTATTGTATATTTATTGTGCGCATTTTTTTAAAATTCGGTTAGGTAATAGTAAAAAAAGAAAATAAATAAATAAAAATACTTGTAATATATTTACAAAGTTGTTCAAAAATTTTACTAAATTATGATAATTCTAATTAAAAATAGACAGCTTTAAGTACACCGTAAATATCGTAATATTTTTGTGCATCTTACATTATTTTAAAATTGAACAATCTGTGTAGTAATGGCAATGCGTACAATGAACGCTTCTCAATCACCATTGTCATATATGTCAACGTCACTGTCATTTACAGTGAACGGTTTTTGGACGGCTTGTTTTGCTGTCAAAGTGAATTGATGTGCGAAATATTTGTTTGCGAATATTCTTCACTATTTTCGTAAAAGTAGAATTTACACAATGATTACAAACTTTGATAAACTCTGTGGAGATCTAGAAAAGCAAGAATTGGAGGTATAGCATTTGCATTTGTTGTTATGTTTGATGTTTATAGGTTAGAAATATATAAGAAAGAAAGGGGTACAATTGGTATCTTATTGTTCTTATTGCAGGCTCCTACCGGTATAGCATCTCCTTCTACATACGCACAACTCTTGGCAATATATTTATATCAAAACGATTTGTAAGTATCTTGTTACAGTATACTTTAAAACAGAGATGTATAATTTACTGGATCAACTAAAACTGACAAGGGACTCTGTATACTGAGAAAAGCTTTGAAGAAGAGTCCCTCTGTGACTCAAACTAGTAGAGCTTTTCTCAGTATATTTACTTGAACAACTCATCATTTTTAGTGTGAAGTCCTGATATCTCACGATAGGTATTTTTTAAATAACATACTGTATCAACTATTTCTTATAATTTTGACCCTTAACTGTTTTTATGTTATACCACATTGCATAAAAATCGTTTTATTGTGATTTCAAACAGCCAAACTAGTGATTTATATTAATGGTTCCCTAGTTTGAAGATAAACGAAAATTGAAGTTAATATACTCAGTGTTTTATCATTTGAATATGAATAGTAGCAATATTGACTTAGATTATCATAAAAATACCAGAAACCTAGAACTTGTATACTTCATTGCAGATGTAATGCGAAATTCCTATGGAAGAGAATCCCTCAGAACATAACAAGTAGTAATCCGGAAATATCAGCAATATGGGCGGTAGGTCAGAAGTTATGGAAAAAAGACCTACCGGGTACCTACCAGGCTCTAGCAGCTTTCAACTGGACTGAACCCGTTGCTAATATCATCCGAGCTTTAGAAGGTATGAAAATATTACTTTTAACATGACAAACTAATATTTTTTTACAATAATGATGTCTCTTCTTAATCTGTCAAACACCAAGCGGTCACCGGTGACCGCGACCTATTGTTCTTTAATTGTGTCTATAAAACCGGTACTCGACGAGTTAAAGCTTTCTATGGATAATCCTTTTCATAGGCGTCAAGTGGAAGGAGAGTAGGGAGGCCTTTGCCCTGCAGTGGGATGATTATAGCTAAAAATAAAATAAAAATGTGCCTTTTACTGTACTTTGTATGGTTACTGAAGTTAAATACTACCTAAGCTAGAATCTAAGACTGAGTATAGTCTTTTTGCTATGGATGTAATAAGAAAATAGTATAAAATTGTCTTTAAAGAAATATTTGTTTAACCTCTTGTCTGTCGATATATGAGACACAATAGCAAATGTTGTTGTCTGATGTTGTTCTAAGTTGTCACATAGATCTGCGTTCGGACAGACAAGAGGCTATTTCGAGTTTTAAAGATGTTTTACGAAAGTTGGCAATATTTGTTTATCTTTTATAGATTTACTACAAATAGTTTGTTTATGCTATTTCAGATAACATAAGAGAGCGCACATTCAACCTGATTGGTCGCTCATACAGTTCTATATCAATTGACCATGTGGTCTCGATGACCGGCTTGAGCAAAGATGCAGTTCTACATGTCTGCAGAGACCGCAAATGGATGTTGAATGAAGACGGAATCACTGTGAGCCCCACACCACCCACCCAGCCTGCACCACTCCACACATCCAGTGAAGACCAACTGTTCAAATTAACCGAATTTGTTTCTTTCTTAGAGAATTAAGTAAGTTATTTATTACATTAGTTACTCTCGTTTTTTTTATTCCATCAAGAGATTAATTCCTAAATTACGCTGTGTATTTTATAAAAACGCTTTGTAATTTGGAGAAAAAGTAAGCAGATTAAATAATGCAAAACATATTAATTTAATCTCATTTAATACATACAACACTAATTCGATGTCTACATTCATAAGAACTAAAACAAAAATCTTTAATACTAAGATATTATTTTAATAGGTATAAAAAGATCAATATAATATGTAAAGTTAAGTGGCAGTGTAAATTCGTATGTTTTATCTTACAATAAAGCTGTAAATTGTCCGATGTTGGTATTTAATGACGGCACATTGCTGTCACGACCTAAAAAAGTATATATCACAAGCAATACATGACTCACGCAAACAGCTGCTGAGTTTGTTCATTGTAAAAATTTCTACAGTCTATATTTCTAGTATCTACATTTGTTTAACCTAGGCACTTAGTTTGGCAACTCTTTTAGAATCTACCCTGGAAGGAAACTTGGTTTTGTCTAGGTTGTAATCTCATTGAGTTGGTGTCGTCTTCGTCGCCCAGGGTGGTTTCGTAGCCTCGGTTGACTTGACCTCCGTTTGGCTCGCCGAAAACGTCTTTCACTGATATATTGGCATTTGATGTTCTGTGCCGCGGCCCAACATTTAAGTTATTATTGAGCTGTAACGATAGAAGATAAAAAGTTTAAAATATATAAAAAAAAATCAATCGTTTATTTTAACGATTTTAATTAGAAATATTTTTTTTATATTATTACCATTCCTGTCACTCCATATTCGTTATTGGCACCAAGTGTTTGCATCTGAGATTTCCTTCTTTCAGCCATCACTGAATTTCTTCTCGTCTCTAAAGCCTTTAGCGTTTCTCGTCGCAACGTCATCTTGCGATTAAGTACTGGTGTACCTTTATGAAACAACAATATTAGGGATTTTATTTAGCACAGTGCATAAATATGAACACAAAGAATAATCTTTTTATTCTTAAATATAACTCCGCTTGCGGTTTCGCTCGCGGGGTCAAAGTCGTAATATATGATACACCAAAATCTTCGTCAGGAATCCCATTATGTAGTGACCAAACCATATAAAATCTGTTCTATTCGTCTTACCTGGTCCATCATTTGCGTTCATATTAAAGAATCTCTTCTTGAAGGCCACGTCTAGTGTGCCTATATTCCTCTTCTTCTGTCTCGCCTTCTCCAAATTGTGAATGGTCTTTCTTCTACCGACGTTATGAGGACCCGAGCCCGAGTCGTTATCATAATCGTCGTCCAGACCATTTAATTTCTGCAGGTCTTTCACTATTGCTATTGCATTCTTATCTAGTAGTGCGTCTTGAGATAAGTCGTCGGACTAGAAAGAAATAGAAGCAATTTAATTTTGACAAACATTTTATATAAAATAGCATAAAAACTGTTTTGAAGTTTGTGTTTACCTTCTTAGAACAGAACCAGTTCAGTTCTGTCGACGCTAATATGTGCGAGATGGTTCCAAATCTATGGAACAACATGGCGGAGAACTGTATCACCAAGATCAAGGCGAAGAAAAATACGAACACTAAACCAATAGGCTCCAGTTGCAGATATTCTTTTGAAATTAACACCTGAAATTTTTAAATATGCTTTAGGTTTGCCATTCTATAGAAAACTAATAAAAAAATTAAATTAGCTAAAATTAACCGTTAATAATAATAATTAGTCAAATGTGCACTTTTCTTCTATTTGAAATTTTAACAATACCTAATTAAGAATTCACCGAAATGTAGTAGCATAAAAGCCTCGCCAAATAAAATTCGTTTTAAAAAGTTCACATCTGACTACGAAACATTAAAAAGAAACTTAGTTAAGTTCAGAAAAAAACCGTTTTGTTATATACAAGTGCGTTATTTTTTATTTCTGTGAAACACTTAGATTTATTTCTGTAATGTTCGCGCTCCACATTGAACATTGAAATATTGAAACACTTAGTTCACACAAAACACGCCATTGCTCAGTATACAGAACTCCAGAAATATTTTCCACATAATCCTGAGAACTATAAATCGTGTTAAGCAAATCACCACATCCTTTAGGGTGTACAAATACTTATGTACAAAGGAAACCAGTGTCCCTGTTACAAGTAATATTAAAAGAAATTCCTCCACCTTAATAGACAGACAGAAACATTAAGTTACTCCTCGGTGAATTGGATTGGAAACGGTGCACATATTGGGAAAGTGAATGGTTGTCACATCTAAAAACTCCATATTTTGGGTCAGATTCGACTACGGCGGAATTGAAAACTGTATTTCAAGGTGCAGGTCATATGCTCGGAATTGGATTGGAGAGCAGGAAATTCCTGGATTGGTCATAATGTCCAGTCTAAGGGCTGTTTAGGATAAGGTGTCCAACATAGGGGCTTCGAGCTTCAACGCCAAAGATGTAATCAGCTCTGTTGCAACACCGTAGTCGAATTCTCTTGTTATTACGGATAATACGCGGGGTTTCCACAAAACCAAATCATAAGGACACCAGGTTGGATATTGATTAGACGTAAAACCATCAGAGTTATTTAGTCTTCAGTGTCGCCGGGACTCCATGCTGGTGTGCCCTCCCAGACAGACCGGTTAGAAGAAGGTCGTTAGGATTGTGTAGTGACACACTTCAGTGGTAACATTTGGCTATACCTCGCCTGTTTCCTCGATGTACGTTATATTTGTCTTAATTCCCAAAGGCCAAATCACGTGGAGTTGATCTTTGTTCAGTTGTAATAAAAACACTATCAATATGAATAAAGCATTGAACATAACAAATGCGAAAACCGACTTATTGCGAAGTTCAAGCAAGTCTGCTGCAATTCGTGCCTGTAAATATTCATAAAACAAATATTTTAAATAAATGTAATCAACTTTCAAGGGTGACGGGGGACATGGCCAAAGTTCAGTACTTTCAAATGTCAAATGTCGATCACAGCTCGCAGTCCCGAGTCATCGTTGAATGCCGATCGCTTTGTAGTGGACTCTCACGTTACCTCTTGAGTAACCTCATCGTAAGTTATGTTAGTTTTAACTCCGAAGGGCCACTTAAAGTGAAGGTTGTCCTTGTTCAGTTGTAGCAAGAATACAATCAATACAAAGAGGGCATTGACCATAAAGAAAGAAAATACACACGAATCTCTCAATTCTTTCAGGTCCTTGGATATACGGGCCTAAAATTAGGGGAAGATTATCATCATGAGTATTCAGTATGACTCGGACATTGAATGAGTGATTGCAAGCACGACTGTCAAGCAAGGGGTGCGATTCCCGGGTCGGGCAAAGTATTGGGTATTCGAATTTAAAAATTCTCAGTAACACCATAGAGATTTGAACTGTTTATGGTGTATAGCAATAATAAGCTCGCTGATATCACATGGGACTTTAACATAACTATGGAAAAATTATTGTAAAATATATACCACCTTTCCATACCCCTTCGGGAATAATATGTTATGGAAGCTGTATGACAAAGTGAAAGAATTTGTAATGATTGTAAGATCGAGTAAAGCATCTGAAATAAAAGCTTATTAGATTACACACAGGTTTTAAAATAATATCCAAAGTATATGATTGATCTCTTGATAGGAAATATATGATTGACTTCATCGCTGAATGCGTTAAATCATCATCATACTAATCTTATTTATCATTTGAATCAAATTCTAGGTAATTGATTAAGCAAATTTCTCCAATTTTAATTAAAATCGGGTAACTACGAAAGAAACAATGAATGAGTTCAATTTCTTCTGACAAATGTTGTTCTATTTTACCTGTTCGTCCTTGTTAGCATCGATGGGATACAAATATTTGTCAATGAGATCTTTCCAGAAAGATAATTCAGCGGGACTCAAAAAATCTACTTCACCCTTCTTCAACTCAGGATCCTCAATCCAGTAAGGGTTTATGAGATCATCTCTCTTTTCCTGGAATTACAAAAAGCAATCAAATTATAACAAGCACGTAATTCTCAATCTCACATAATGCTAAAAAATTCAACTTAAAAGCGGTGCTATAATGGAAAGGATATAGAAAGTTCTCATACTCTTGGCGTAGTGGAAAGAGTGTCGGTTTCAGAATCTGAGTCGCCGTCTTCTTCTGGTCCTTCAGCCAGAGCGTCCAAACCATGATCTCCAGCGGTGCTACCTCTTGGTCCAACCGATAGTTTACGTCCTCTGCTCATTCCATGAGGATCGACCGCCCTAAAAACAATCAAATTGCGTTCAAGTCATTCTTTGAAGTTGTAAAAGTAAATTATCAACTTATTAATAAAGTTTGCTTACCTCTCAACAGTTTCTAGTTTCTTTTCCAATTTCTCCAAAGTAGATGCAATATGCAAAAGTTGCACTTTCTCTTCATTTCCTTTCGGATGAGTACACAATAGACACTTGAATAAACCAGCGAACGAGAATTCAATGGATCCTTCTTCTTCATTGCTGTTCACTCCTTGAAGGAAACCTAAGAGGGACTTCTGTTTTGCCGATTTCTTTGCTAATTCCGCTTCTTTCTTTTCTGCTTCAATTTCCTAAAGTAAAAATAAACCATTAATAAGAATTTGATTAACTTTTACACTAAAAATAAATCAGTCGTGTACCAACCTTCTTCGTCTTCTTAACTGCTACTTCTCGAGTACCCCAAGATACTACGTTTAGATTTATAATCGAATATAAAATCAAAAGCAAGTACATAGAGGGTATAGATAAAAGATAAATTATTCCTGGTACGATACACCAGAACTCCTGCGGATGCAAGCAAGCGGCTATGAAGGTCGAACTCGTAAGTGATATCAAGAATATAGCCGAAGGAGATCCGATACCGTCCTCGCCTAACTGAAGCGCGGTACCGACGATCACAGCCATCATTATCATAGCATATGCCGTCGATAATATCTGAGCTACCAGTAACTGAAAAGAAACAATACATAACATTCAAATATACCAAATTAATAGCTATGAGTATT